ATAAATAAAGGAGAAAAATAGAAAAGAAGTAAGCCACGAGATTACTTTCCCAATTGAAGATGTGTATTCTACATGAATGGTACAAGGACATTTTAATCGATGTATTAACATGATACATAGTTAGCTATCGAAGAGTATTATGTTAAAAATCTTTCATAACTAAGAAGTTTATCCCACTTAAGCTCCCTTCACATGCTCTCTAAAATAATACATAGTTTACAAAAGCCAAATTTGTAACTAAAGTATCCTTTTCGATTTTTCAATATACGGAAAACAATTTCTTGTATTTTTCAAGCTAAACAAAAACGCCATTTGTCGTACTTTTAAAACCAAAACGAATATTTTAGTTGCAAAATTCTTTTTCTGCGTCTTGTAAACTATGTATTATATACAAAATGCAATAAATTCGTCATCATGACTCATGATGACATTTTGGAAAACTGCAAAGAAAAATGTAAGGGATATGTAAAAGACATGTATGAAGAGAGAGAAAAAAGAGTTAAAAGAATAATAAAGATAAAGATAAACATAGAAGTCAGTATCTTTATTATTCTTTTAACTCTTTTTTCTAGCTAACTATGTATCATGTTAATACATCGATTAAAATGTCCTTGTACCATTCATGTAGAATACACATCTTCAATTGGGAAAGTAATCTCGTGGCTTACTTCTTTTCTATTTTTCTCCTTTATTTATCATACTATATCACCAAATACAAAGCAAAACAAGCTTTTACTATGATATGAGAAATAGTAGTGTACGGCAATTATAATGGGTGCATTTGAAAGATTGGAGATTTCAATCGATTTAATCGACAAGCCATGTATTTTTTCCCAAAGTAGTAAATAGCCACAATGATCACCACACTCATCAATATAATTAACAACCAGTTGCGCCAATCGTCAGTTCTAAATTTCACTTGGCGAACATGGTGATTTTCAAATCCATTATTTAAATGATTTGTAAAATCTGCTTTGTTTACACAATCCCACCACGATGAAACAACACCGGCTTGAATAATAATGGAAATGAACCATACAATGAATACCATGATGATACTTATGGACAAGAGAAATAGTCTAAACAGAAGTTTCCAGTTTGATACATGCATACTTAACACTCATTTTATACTAAAAAAAAACAATATCAAACAATTTGTGAGTAGGATGAAGGACTGAAAAACAAAATAGAGGAGGAGGGTGGAATGCAACGAGAAAGAAAAGAAATAAAAGAAACAAAACAAGCTTTTACTATGATTCACTATGAGAAAATCAATACCAAAATATCTAACTCTTCTAAAGCTTGGTGGTCGCTAGTGAAACATACGATGCGACGTGATCGTGTGTCCTTGATCCCGGCATTGAGGAAGAATTTTTATTCTATCGTACAAATATTATTTATACACTCAAATAGCATTCAATGTACTCTGCTTGGCAATAAACAGATATAAAGCATGATTATTCTTCTACATAGCAGACTGCGCTCAGGCAAATAAAACAGTTCACATACGCTACTATTACAATGCACGAGCTATTTAGAAAGGAAAACAAACATCTTGGTGTAACTAAGGGAGCAACTGGCCAACTGCGCAGTATTTTAAGTCGTCCTGATTACTCCAGTTGAAATTTCTGAAACCTTCAGCTTGTCCAATGATTTGCAGATTGGCTTCTGAGCACGTAATGGACCTCGATCAATAGTCAAAAACAGCTTCTCAACAAGCATGTGCTGTGTAGATTTCCATCCATACCTGTTGAGGAAATAACCATTGAGTGCAATATGAGAAATTTCAGGGTTTGTGATTGGGAATATGTTGAAGTATCGCTCTCTCTTTCATGTTGAAATTTCACTATAATCTAGCCTTAATAAATCTTCAACATCATGTAAACAACAACATAAATAATTTTGTGGTAATAAAGGTTGGAGGGACAAAACATATACTCTTTTTCTGTTCAAGGAAACAGTAATACGAATTAAATTCTCGCTTATGTTTTTTTGTATTATTTTTCTTTGCTGCCGACGTACTTTGTTGTTATTGTAACTGCTGCATTCTTCAAACAGTTTGCAACATGCCCACTAACAGATGTGCTCCCATTTTGAGGTTTACAGGTTCACAATTGATTGTATATTAAACTTTCAACGAATCAGAGAAATGAATCATCTAAACTTTTTATTCTTCTCAGAATAGATCAAAATTCGGCTTTGGTCCGCGACAGTGGTTCTGTTACTGTTAGATTTATTCGCCGTCGTTTAACAGAAGTAGAATTTGTTTTTCTTCTCCTCCATTTCCTTTTCCAGTTCTGTCATATTTTATTGTTATTAGCTAAACTAAATTACAGAACATCAGTCACAATTTTATTAAAAATATTTTAACTCAGTGTCTCTCCCTTTCTCTGCTCTACTCTCCAGAAAATAATTTGAACTATATTTGCACTGTCTCTTGGTTCTGAGATAGTATATTGCATTATACATCCATTTTCATTTGATCGATCGGTAATATGTTGGTGCTGTTGTGGAGTAGATAACGATATTGACCGCAATCATTGTTTCTGATGAAAGTAGACGTATAACTTATCAGACCCTTATACAACTGTTATTTCTTTCATCGTGTACAGCATCGGAAATTACATAGACTCTTACATTTGTCTGCTAATAAGGTCATATTCTACACATTCTCTAGTAATGTCAAGTTTCAGTCTCTCTTACAATGAAGCAACTTTAACGTAGTCGCATGGTTAATATCTAGGATTAATATACCGTATGAAAGAATAGCTCGAGTAGTACAAGTGTTGATACTTCAAATTTGTCCTACTACTTTTACAAGGGCAAGCCAGCTGTCACAAAGTGGCCGACAGTGAAAACGTGGCACTCAGTACACTTCTCCTGAAGGCAAAACAAAACAAAAAGTTCTTGCGCTACAGATAAAAATCAAGCTGAAGAGCTGATTAATCCACTAAAAAAAGAATTAAGTCGGTATCTATCTTCCTCTTTGAGTATAAGACCATCTTTGCGGGCCCTTTTTGATAAATAGCCTACTAAAATTATGGATCACTTATCAAGTTCTTATAAAGTAATTCTCGAGTTCCTATTAGTCTCGTCCAGAATAATTATCACAATCGTAGCCGAGTACTTATATACGAACTTAATAAGAATCGTATAAGGGTTGCACTTGTCACGAATATCAGTGATATAAGCTTCTTATACGCCCCGAGTCAGTGAATTGTAAAAGATTTGATGTCTAGGGTATTTTCTACCATATCATTTTATGCTCTTTCAAACGAAATGTTTTCATCAAATTGAGCAAGGCCATAACATGATGAAATGCGTAATCGTACGTTTATTTCTCTCTTCAGCTCTTCACAATCCACATAGAAATTGAGTGTCACAAAGACATACTCACACACATCATCAAAAATGCGTCTTACGTCCAACGGCTTACTAGTATTACGTAAACATTGTTTAAAATGCTGTTGCAGATACTCATAATTCGCTTCAAAAAACAACACACTGTTTGAAAACCTTAGAAAAAATCTTTCTTCGTCCAAATATTCAGCCTGTGGAGAATTAATAGCTTGATGTGAACTACTTCGTGCTGGAGATGCATTATCATTATTTCTCACAGAAGATAAACTCCCACCATCTGGATCTAGTTCCGATCTTTTACTTGGAGATCGATCCATATGTAGTTCACAAATATTTGGATCACTACCATCGATCAACGAACTTCTGATATGTTTCTGTTCAGTATAGAGGGTTAATTCCGAAGGGATTTTTTTCACTCGTGTTAAAAGAAGAGAAATTGCATTATTACAAGATTTTCTGATATTTGTCATACTTGCACTTTTATTTTGTGCGCTTAGTTTTTCGACAACTCTTGCGCATAGTTCTGTAAACGATCGTTCATATTTGAAAGAGTTGCCATCCTCACAAAAATCATGCACATTCACCACAACTTTTCTCTGCGTATAGTTGTCACGAGACTCAGCATGTTCGAAGATGAAGTATCCCACACTTGAGCAGAATCATGATCGGCAAGCATGCGAAGTGTCTAATCCAGTGCATCCAGCGCAAGGTATTGAAACGGCGAACAACAATGCCGAGACGCAAGAAAATAGATAGCGTGGATGATTTACAAGAAAAGCTGGAAACCATTGTGATCGGTGATGCTCCAGTCCGCAAATCTGAACCAAATCAATCACACTACAAGTCATGGCAAGAGATCATTGACTCAGAAGGTACAATTGGAAATATTTTGATGATTGAACGTGGTTCATTGGTCTTTTTATTCGTTTATGAAAATGGTAAGGCAACATACCAGGAAGTAATCGAACGTCAATTCAAACATGCCTGTACAAGTGCTGTCCATGATTTTTGTCGCTCGGGACCACAGTGTCAATATCAAGAAAGTGGCACATGTAGATATGGTCGAAATCATAATGCAAATATCTTTAATGATTTATGTTCGAAGATGAAGTATCCCACACTTGAGCAGAACCATGATTGGCAAGCATGCGAAGTGTCTAATCCAGCGCATCTGCCTCATTATCATTCTATATTTTTACTGGAAAAAAAGTATGATCCAAACTCCGCAGAAGCAAGAGAATTGACTTGTCCATTAGATGGTGATCAATTTCTTTTTAATTATACCGATCAAAACACTGTTGGGCTTTAGTGCAATTTATTCGCTTATTTTTAGCTCATTTTCGTAATTCACCGTTTAAACCATCAGGTCAAGCATCTCGAAACGAGACAAGACCCAATAAGGATATGCTGAAAGCAATTGA